TTCCTTCCTTCCTTCCTTCCTTCCTTCCTTCTTTCCTTCTTTCCTTCTTTCCTTCTTTCCTTCTTTCCTTCCTTCCTTCCTTCCTTCCTTCCTTCCTTCCTTCCTTCCTTCTCTTTCCTTCCCTCTTCATTCTCCTTTCTTCTTCCTTCCCTTCTTCCCTTCTTTTTTCCTCCCTTGCTCTCTTCCTGTCAGGTGTGGCTTCACCTTCAGCACCCTCCCCCCTCCACGAGGCCCAATTATTCCCCCCCCCTCCCCATTTCTATGGCAGCCAGAAAGAGTCAAGCAGAAGACAGAATCTTGGAGGTTGACACTTCCCTTCTTTCCTTCTTTTTCCCTCCCTTGCTCTCTTCCCATCTTCCCTTCTTTTTCTTTGTCTTTCCTCTTTCCCTTTCTCCTCCCCTGTCCCTTCTTGGATGCTCAAATGCAAACGGGGAAATATGTCTCGATGCCTCCTTGCCTTGGGATCCAATGCCACTTTTGCTAGACGTTTGTTTTGGTGGGACTCTGGCAGTGAAAACTGAGCTTGGGAGGGTCATGCATGGCCCTTGCGGGCTCTGTTTTCGGCCACGACGGCCTCCTGCAACCCTCTGCCAGCGAAAACAGGGCTCCACTTTTGCTGGCAGAAGGGGACCATGGACCAGTCCTTCTCCATTTCCAGGCGGGCTAGATCTAAGCACCCTGTGGACCACATCCAGCCCACAGGCCTTGAGTTTGACACCCCTGGTGTAGATCATCAAGATGACTCTACCATTTTTTGCAAGATTTTTGTGGCCGTTTTCATCCTCTCTGCAGCTGCTTGCTGCATCTGATCTTTATCCCTTTTGCAATCTCAGAGGAAAATAATAATAATAATAATAATAATCTCAAAAAAAAAGGACAATCTGAGAAGTTACGGTTGCTTCTCAGCCACCTGTCAATTAAAGAACTGGATTCTTCCCTTCTTGATTCTCTGCTCCCCGTCTTTGCTCTTGACATCAATTTATGTCTCTGAAAGTCAAATGCAGTTCTTGGGCTGGCTAAACTGGCTACCCCGATTTTAAGTTTCCTTTCCACGAGTGCATTTCGCAAATATGCAACGCTTTGCTTGTAGCCTATGGAATATGTAGGTGGGCACGCAAGACACGCATATGGAATACATCACTACATGGTTGGTTTTATTTTACTTTGCAAACTGCCGTGGGACGGTCTTTTTTATATCGCAACCGGCTGTAAACAAAAAAACAAACAAAAAAGAAACATTTGTATGAGTATTTCAGAAACAAGAAACAGAAGAACTCAAAAACATCGGGCTGAGGTTCTTAATTTCTCTTCATTTTTCCCTGCAGAAAATCAGGATTATTTTGAGAAGCATCGGTGGCCCCCCGTTTGGTACCTCAAGGAAGAGGATCACTTCCAGAGAGCCAGGAAAGAGCGCGAGAAGGAAGACTACCTCCATCAGAAAAGGCAGCCGAAGAGACGGTGGCTCTTCTGGAATGCCTCTTCCCCTTCCTCGTCGGCAGCCACAGCTTCCTCCTCCTCCTCCTCCTCCTCCTCTTCCTCTGCTGTGGTTTGAGGGCTGCACTGCCGATCTGCTCCGATGGCTGTGAGAAGGAGGGGAGCCGACTGGCGCCTGGCATCCCCAAGGCGTGGCAAGAGGCCACAGGCCGAGGCCTTTCAGCGGAGAAAATCAGCATGAATGTCCCTGAGAGGCTGATGAGGAAAAAAAAACCTCCGAAGGAGAGCAACTCAGGAGCCAGAATTATCCAACCATCTCATCCAGAGCTCTGGGTGGCCTCCCTTCCCTGCCTTGGCTAAGTCTAGAAGCACAGCAGATGGAGGCCACCGACCAGTGGAACGGAGAGCGGCTCCGTTTTCTTTCCAAGAGGCTCAACTCATCTCGCGGGACTGCACCTCCCTTTTGCAGAAATGCTGGAGGGGGCGAGCGTTTTGTTTTTTTGTTTTTTTTTAAATATATATATATATATATATATGGGGGGGGAAACAATTACTCCAAGAAAGATGGAGCCCTTCTGTGTTTTTTTTTTTTTAATTTTCCCCTTTGCAAAAGAAAAAAGAAAAAGTTTTCTTAAAAAAAGAAAAGTATTATGTATCTCACATCGACCATCCTCTGCACCTTATACATTTCAAGCCGCTACAGATGCTGCGTGACCCAGGACTTTTGTTTTTTGTTTTTTTCCTTCTGGGTTTCCTTCCCGATGGCCAAAGGGCCACGTTATTTTGGTTGCACTTAATGACTACCCAGGCACTTATCCCCTAGATGTTTTGCTTTGAGCAAGGCATGTATCCTGACAGCAAACAGCTGGGGTCTCTCTGCTCCTGAAAAGCGGACACCCCTATGGAGAAGACGATGGCCAAGAGAAGCACAGACCCTCCCATGGGGTTCAAGGGCAAGAGGGAGGGGAGGAAATGACCCTAGAATAGGAGGGGGGAAAAAACCAGCCTGGCAAGGCTGGGAAGCTGCTGCTCCCTCCCCACTTCCCCCCCGCTTAATTTTGCAACACAATCTACAAACTGACTAAACATGGCGGATTAGGAGAAAAATATGAGGAAGAGAAATGCCCGCTATAATGCTTGAGGATGCACTGTGTATGAGAGAGTATAACCCACCCCCTCACACACACACACAGACCCCAGCAGTTAATGTGCTGTTTTAATGAAAATGAAACACCAACCAATACACATCTTGGATTTTAGTGTGGAAGGTTCTGTTGTAATAAATGGTATTTTAAAAGAGACAGTTGTGAACTTGTCTTTGGCTTGGAAGGAGGGAAAGAAGAAAGGGTGACAATCCAGAGCGGTGAATTGTACTTCTAAATCAGAGACTTTCAAACTTGACAGCTTTATGACTTTTGGACTTCAACTCCCAGAATTCCTCCTCCAGTCACATTAGCTCAGGAATTCTATTTATTTTATTTGTTTGTTTTGTCAAAAGCTTACAATACAATAGGGATAAGAATAAACATAAGTTTAAATATAAGAAATAGGAACGAATCATTGGGGACAATAGGACAGTGACAGCAGGCATGATTGTGCGCTTATGCACGCCCCTTACTGACCTCTTAGGAATGGGATGATGTCGATAGAGGTTACTTTGAGGGTAAAGGAGTGGAGGTTTGAGCAGGTTACAACAGAATCAGGTAGTGAGTTCCAGACAGTGACCACTCTGTTGCTGAAATCGTACTTCCTGCAATCAAGTTTGGAGTGGTTTACATTTAGTTTGTATCTGTTGTGTGCTCTTGTGTTGTTGAGGTTAAAGCTGAAATATTCATTAACTGGTAAGACGTAACATATGATTTTATGTACTATGCTTAAGTCCAGTCTTAGCCGGCATAGTTCAAGGTTGTTTAGGCCTAGAATATCAAGCCTGGTGGTGTAGGATATTCTGTTGTGAACAGAGGAATGTAGTACTCTTCTGGTAAAATACTTTTGGACTTGCTCAATTGTATTGATGTCTGATATACAGTGCGGATTCCAGACAGCGAAGCTGTATTCAAGTATTGCTCTAGCAAAGGTTTTGAATGCCCTAGTTTGCAAATCAGTATTATCAGAGGAGGAGCTTTGTAAAATTAAATTTACAACTCTCAAAGCCTTTTTGGCAATACTGTTGCAGTGAGCTTTGCGCTTAGGTCATGCGATATGAGAACACCGAAGTCCTTGACAGACTGGGGGTCATCAACAAGGTCATATCTGCCTAGCTTGTATTTGGTATATAGATTTTTTTTTGCCAATGTGTAAGATTCTGGGAGTTGAAGTCCACTTGCCAAGTTTGAAGACCCTTGTTCTAAATAGTAGCAATAGCATTTAGGCTTATATACCACCCATACTGCTTTACAGCATCAGCACATTGCCCCCAACAACCTGGGTCCTCATTTTACTGACCTCAGAAGGATGGAAGTCTGAGTCAACCTTGAGCCAGTCAGGATCAAACTCGACAGTGAGCAGAGTTAGCTTGCAATACTGGATTCTAAGCACTGCACCACCAGGGCTTCTAATATTACTGTTACTGTTCTTCGGATAATTAAAGCTTTAGTGTTGTGAGCTTTACCTACAATAGCTTTGCTAAAATAGAAGTCAGAAGACATGTTCTAGTACCCCAAGTATTGCCTCAGAAGAAAAAAGAAGACAACACAATGTGTTTGATTCTATTAATTTAGTTTAGTTTACTTTATTGTCATTGCACCTTGTACAACAAAATTAAATGCCATCTTCAGTGTACGTTGTAACTATAGAAATAAACCACAAACACACGTCCTTCGCATTCTATACCAGTGGTCGCCAACCAGTGGGCCGCAGACCACTGGTGGTCCATGAGAAAACTTTGGTGGTCCGCAGAGAAATGTCACTCCCGAAACACCCTCCAAAGCAATTAATCCAGGCTGCGCGGGAACACAAGGCTGTTCCGCCCACATGGCCCGCGGGAACACAAGGCTTGCGTCGCTTGCATTACAACAACATGAGGTAGTGAGGGGAGGGGGGAAAGGGTGGAGGGGGGAATTTGTCCCACTCACCCCACGCACCTGGCCTGGCCACCAGGCTACTTCTTTCCGCTTTTTTCTTCTGCTTTTGGCTGCATGCAAGGAAAGCAGCAAAATTATTTATTTTTCTCCCCCAAACTCTGCCAGAAATGAGTCTTTGAGACCCTGCAAGGCCTCCTGCTCCAAGAGGCTGCGCCGGCCCGACAAGTCTCACAAAGACTCATTTCTAGTGGAGTTTGGGGGAGAGAAAGAAAGACTTCTGCTGCTTCTGCTGCTTTCCTTGCATGAAGCCAAAAGTCTCTCTCTCTCTCTCTCTCTCTCTCTCTCTCTCTCTCTCTCTCTC